CTGCTTCTTCTCTTAGAGATGCAAGTGCTCCATCTCTAAGTTCCAACGTATGCTTTTTCTCATCGACTTGGGCCGCATTAAGCCGAAATTCGTCTTCGGCCATCACCAAGCTAACAAGTGCACGACCCAGGCACGCTTTGGCATATTTGAACTTGTAAGCGCTCGCCAGTGAGGACACACCGATCTCGGACCTCGGATCCCATACCATCATAGGGACCCGAGCAGCGTCTATGACATGAGCAGGCAGTTCGACTGTACTCGAGATCTCGGGAATCTCAACCGATTCAAACGTCGAGAACCACTTCTCGACCGATTCCCGAGGCTGCCTGAAGTTTAAAAACCTCTCCTCGTCCATCGGCAAGAAGGATCGATCAACGATGGGCTCCTTCTTCTTTTCACGGTCACCACCATCGTGTTTCTTCTTCCTCCGTTCCTCGGTAGCTGGGATATCCTCTGCACGTCTCTTTTTCGACCGAGTAACGGGCACTTCACGCTCGGCAATAACCTCGTGGCCCTCCTCAGGTTCATCAGAAGCCAAATCAATTACCGGCGGATTCACTGCTGTGACAGCCTCAATAACCGGCTCGACTTCAGGTGCAGCAGCAGTAGCAGCGGCGATAGCGGCCATCGGACCCGCTGCCGCAATAGTCAAAGGATTAGGCTGCGGGACAACAACTGCAGCCGCCGACGTCGCACCATCCCCGACGTCGATTTTCGGCGGATTCATAATCGGATTCTCTAGGTAAGCCTTCACTAATTTCTTGCGACCCATTCCTGTCAGACGCAGCTCTTTGCTCTTTCCGACTTTAGTTCGCAGTTCCAAATTCGGACTCCTCTGTCGGAAGGCTCTAGCGTCACGAACAGTCTTGAAACCGAGCACTCCGAGAAGCGGATAATATACTGCAATTATAAAACCGAGTTATCACAATATCCAAAAACTACCGACTTCGACTACGTTTGAAAAATTTGATTCGAATTTACCTGGCTGAAAAGAACCGTCTAGGATTTCTGGACACAACCCAGCAGCTTTCAACCTTGAATCCTTCAGAATCAGCTTGAAGCCACGTTGTGTCTTCTTGAGCTTGAATAGTTCAGAAATTCTTCCTTTCAAAGTCGCACTAAGTTCAACTCCTTTGCTTTTGGCTGCAAATAGTAAAGTTGATGACCTGTTAGTACACAAATAAAAAGCAAGTCAGGACAAACTCGGTTAGTTTGAAGGAAGGACAATACTTACAAACTGCAGAATTAATATTAATTGGAATTGACATTCCATCAATCAAGGGCTTATTGAAATTCGGAGTCTGCCAATCCCCACCAACCCACAACTATTCCTCTTGGAACCCATGCAGTGAATCCGGGATCTCTGTGATCAGATCACCGATCTTAAAGCCACTTTGGGGCCTTCCTGCGCAAGCATAGCAAATCAGGGGATCTGCTACTTGTCTATCAGTGCATCTCCTAAACGAGAAAAGGCTCCTTAGTTCTTCAACGGTTGGCATATCCCAGCCCTTTTCCTTTAACAGAACCAGAAGACCGATGATTCTCTTCCACGAATTTGGAGCTACTTGACACAGACTAATTCCCCAATTTCTTAGGTAGTCTGTAATTACAGCCGGGAGGGGAAACCGAAGACCAGACCTCAGTGAGTCGGCAAAAACACCGACACAACCTGGAGGCGGACATGTGATCCTTTCGCCTGGATATGGAGCAAACAACTTAACTGACGAAGGGATATACACTTCCCCTCGAAGCATAACGATATCAGCATCAGTAAGAATACTCGGTTCGCCCCTATACTCGTCAATCGGCTCCGGCCACCGACGAGCAGGACGTCTCCAGTAATCCGGAAGCGACATAGCATCCTCTTCGACTCGCTTGTCTTCATCAATGATATCCCTATGGAGATTAAGACTCTTTACCAAAAGGGGATCCCACCGATAATATTCCAGAGGCAATTCCAAATCCTCATCGGTAAGGATCGGAATGTCCGAAATCGTTCGGCTACTGCTATTTTCGGTTTGTGCAGACATCACTCTTCGAAATCGACGAAAAATACAGGAATAATTTGGAACAGAATAAGAAAACAAGAAAGATTAGGGCAAGCTCTTACCGAAACTTTCGAAGGACTCTGGACTGACGAAAAAATCACAGGAAAAAGCAAGTGCACAAGAAAAGTACGTAAAGAAAAGGTTGCTGAAAGAACGCAAGAAAAATCGCAGAGATTAAAGGTACAGAAATTTTTTGCGTCCCGAGACCGACTTCAATTTATAGGTTTCGATTTATGACCGTTAGAAGCATCCGGAAACGGCGCGTGTAACGGACGTATCTTCAAGGGACATAACGTTACAGTAATTATTATACCACGTGGCCACATCCTGAAACGCCATGTCGTTACAAAATTGTATCCGTTGGGCCCATTTAATGCGGACGCGTCTTTTAAAGAGCCGCCATGTCAGATCAAATACAGCGCAGTATCGAATGAAGCAAAGTGTTCTCATGTCGGTAACAACGCAAAACAAGTCGGAATAAGGTGAAACAACAAACAACATCAGCAATCATTTAAAAAGCTTCAAATACTTACTGATGTCGGGGGCCTCACTGTTGATATCAAATCCAGTAATCAGAATTAAGGTACTAAAAATCGGAATATACTATAGCAAGTTACCGACTTCCATAGATCTCTTCCGACAGACCGACAAGGAGGATCAAAACCGACATCCGAAACCGACGTAAATAAACCGACATCAAGTCAACCGACTACCACAAAGTTTGAGCATTCCAAACAGAAAGTAATCATTAGAAGCATCTGATTGGACCAACAAAACAAAAAGGTAATCATTGATGTTTCCCGCCGCCTCAAAACAAAGCAGCTCAATATTAAATGCATCTCTATCCATTTCGAGGAAGAGGACAAAAGCCACCGTACTATAAATAGCAGAATTTATGATAGTACGAGGATCTTTTTCGATCACATTGTACATGAACTTAAGACAACCTCGGTTCTCCCCTTGAAACCGACTTCTGTACTCTTGTGAACATAATCAATAAAATCCAATTTAACCTTTATCTTCATTCTTGAAACATCAACTGTGTTTAATTTTAAGTTGCTAATTCAAAACAGCAACAAGCCTCTCTAGCACTAAGCCAGTATTTTTTTGCCCATTAGAATATCTAACCCTAACCTTTTTAAGGTCCCTGTTGTAGCCTATAAATAAACCATGTGAGAAACTTGTTATCACGCATAAGATATCACAAAAGACACGCCTAACCCAATAAATATAGGGTTGGTGGCCCAATTTCATGAGGTGCAACAGAGAAAGGGAGTTCCAGCCACACGAGATCGGGAGACCGTCGCCCACATGACGCCAGTTGAGGTTAAGGAGTACAATAGAAGACGTTGAGGTCATGGGATGATCAACACACATCGCACACGACGCATGACACAAACGACTGTGATCGATGCGACAAGGCAAGGCGCGACGTGGCGATGTCGAATGACGGGATGAGACGTATGGGGACAAGAGACGAAATGGCAAGAAGTTAAAGTCGTTGTTTGGTCTCGTAAGCCATGTAAGTGTCTATAAAGTTGTCTTAATCAAACAAGTAAGATTCGAATCCGATTGTTAGTTTGTTGCGCATAGGATTGTTATCTTAGATTCTCAATTCATTCAAAGCACGATCAGCTAGCATTCTTCACCGAAGCCAACACCGTATACTAGGATTTTTGAGGTATTGGGTCATCGCCGCTCAATGGGCTCCAGATCGGCATAGTTTATGTATAATACAACTGTATTGAATAGTTGGGTGTGTACTGACAAAAATAGTGTTGATATTTTGGGTGAGTTTGATTAATTTTGATAGAAACTAAAAATAATATGAAATGAAAATAGATCTTTGAATTAACTCTTGATTTAGTGGAATTTGTAATCCACTTCAATTCATGAGTACACGTATTACACATATATTTAGGAGACAAAGGCGGCTAATTGAGGTGGTGATAAGCCACTTTTTTTGCTTACTTATTTTGCTAGAATTATGAAGAACTCTCTAGATATTTAATACTCCCTTTTGCCTCCTCTAATCAATTCACACATGATTTTTTTATTGGCTAAGTTTTCTACAAGTTTCTTGATTGAGCATTAATATTTAATGAAGTGTTTTTTCTCTCAACGGAGAGTTTCCATTACTGATTTGGGTTTTGAAAGCTTGTTCGTATAATTTGTGATTGGTCTGTACCAACGGTTTATGGGATTAGCAATTGAAAAACTGCCAGCGATTTAGGGTTCATGGAGGAAGGACAATCGAGCAACCCGACAGAGGATGTGGAGCAGCGTCTTAGGGCTTTTACATTATCGAAGGTGGAGAATAAAATCATTGATATTCAGTCTCAGGATGTGAAGGCCAGTATTGATGAATGCCATACGAGCTTATTTGGGAAGGTAATTGGGGATAAGAAGGCGCATCTATTAGGGGTGATGAGGACGATGGCTCTCATATGGAAACCAAAAGCGTCCATGGAGGTCAGAGAATTGGATAGGAACTTTTTCCAATTTATTTTCGAAGATGTGAAGGACATGAAGAGGGTAGCTGGTGGTATTAACTAGATCTTTGATAATCAATATCTAATTATCAAGAGTTGGAAGAAGGGGTTGAGTAGTAAGGATGAATGTTTCAATGAACTAAAATGTTGGGTCCAAGTACACCATGTCCCTTTGGAGTGGATGAGTTCGGATGTGGGCTTGAAGATAGGGCAAGCTTTTAAGGAGGTGTCTAATGTGTTGGTGTGTAATTTGGGTAACTATGGAGGGCGTCTGATTAAACTTCTGGTGACGGTGGATTTAGCAGAAGCTTTGCCTCACTGTGCTTTAATTAGACTGGGGGATCAAATAGTAACGGTTACCTTCAAATATGAGAGGTTAGTAAACTTATGTTTCTATTGTGGGAAAGTGGGCCATATAGAGAAAGTCTGTGGGCAGAGAGTGGATGATGTGGAACACAAAATGTTGAGAGAGGGCCAGTTTGGAGAATGGATTAGGGCCACTGATGGGCTTCAAGGGCAAGGATGGAGGAATAGTGGTTCTTCTTCAGCACAAAATAGAGAACCTGAAGCTTCACCTATACCACAACAAACTCAAGAAGGGGAGTCAGGAGGAGGGGATGAGTTTTCACCAGGGGTGGAGGCTAGTTCTGTTCAGTTACAACAGAATGGAAAGAAAGGGGCTAGTTCTTCATCCAAGAGGGAAGAAAGGGAAAATCTCAGGAAAGCTAATAAGGATCTGGTGGTATTTGGGGACAGTAATCAAGGAATGTGCCCAATCATTATGGGAGAAGATACTTATGAGAGGGACATAATGGTACTGGATCAAACTCAGGGGTTAATAACTAGTAGCCAGCAGGAACTATCTCATGTGATTGATCCTATAATACCAACCATAGTCCAAAAGAAATGAAGGAGAAATATGAAGAAAGAAGGCAGGCTGATAAGGCAGAGTGAAGCTAACATGGTTGTACCTTCAGCTATGGTTCATAAGAGGCAGAGGGAGTTAGAGAATGATTTATCAACTGCTGAAGAAGAGGATTGTCAAGGCTATAATGAAGAGAAGAGACCTAAGCTATCTGTGTCTAAGGTGGAGAGGGCCAACCTCAATAGGCCCTCAGGGTGTAAATAAGGGCTCAGGTGTGAAACTGTAGAGGTCTGGGTGGGCCCTCTACAATTCCCCAGATCAAGGAGGCTTTGAGGCTCCACCATCCAAATTTTATGTTATTATCTGAAGTTAAAAAATCTAAAAATTATGTAGTACAAACTTGTAATAGGTTGGGGTTTGGCAGTAATCTTTTTGTGTGGAGGCTAGAGGGTATAAGGGTGGCCTTGTTTTGGGTTGGGACTTTGAGGTGGAGGTAGGCAAGGTGTATGGGGACAGCTTTTTTATTGCAGCAGAATTCAAAGACAAGGGGCAACAGATCTGGAGCTGGGCTGTGTTTGTATATCTTAGTACTTGCAGGGAGGAGAGGAGAGCTCAATGGCAGTTTCTAATCCAGGAGAGGTTTAAATGGGGTTCAATGTTCTTACTTGCAGGGGATTGGAATGATTTGTGCAAGCCAGAGGAGAAGAAGGGTGGATTGACTAGGTCTGTGAGGAGTTGCTGGGAGTTTAATGAATTTTTAGCTAATATGGGAGTGCAGGAACTATCAATTGGTGGACCTCAATTCACATGGGCTAACAATAGGGAGGGTGAGGGATTTGTGGAGGAGAAACTGGATAGGGTATTTGTCTCATTGGAGTGGCTTGGAGTTTTTCCTAACACTAAAGTTCATAATTGGTTCAAAATTGCCTCTGATCATCACATGTTAATTGTGGACACTATGGGAGGGACTGTCAAGCATAGGAGGAGGTTTGTTTTTTATAACAGGTGGATTAAGAAGGAAGGGGTGCAACAAGTAATCCAACAAGCTTGGGAGGGGCAGGCTGAGGGGACTCCTGTGTTTGCAGTAAAGGAGAAAATCAAGCAAGTAAGGGCTGCATTAATGAATTGGAGTAAATACTTCAGAACAGACAATGTCCAGAATATCCAGAGGTTAACCTTGAAGTTAGAGGAGATGAGAAGAGAGGGAGGTGAAAGGAACTGGGAAGTGTAGGAAAGGCTAAAAAGAGTTTTGATAAAGCCAATTGTTCAGAGGAGGAGTTTTGGAGGCAAAAGGCTAGAGCATTATTGGTTGAAGGAGGGGGACAGAAAATCAAAATTTTTTCATGCTTATGTGACTCAGAGGAGAAAATGAACAACATTGTTAGACTGCTGACAGGGGAGGGAAGTATCACTCAGAATCCTGCTCTTATTGAACAGACAATCATTGAATTCTATGAGAACCTCTTTTCTTCTAGGGGCAGTCACAATGGCCATGAGTTGTTACCTTGTATACTGCCATCTGTGACCAGTGAGATGACTGATACTCTTATTGCACCAGTGGATGATGAAACCATAAAGAAAGCTATTTTTAGTATTGATCCTGACAAATCTCCTAGAGAGGATGGCATGACAGGTTTGTTTTTTCAACACTTTTGGCCTATCATCGGTTCAGATATTTGCACAGCTGTGAAGAGTTTCTTTGAGTCTGGCCAGATGCTGAGGTACTGGAAGCACTCTCTTATCACTTTCTTTCCTAAATGTCAAAATCCTGTGTCAATTACTCAATTCAGACCTATCAGTCTGTGTGCTGTTTTTATAAAGTTATTTTCAAAATCTTGGCTTTGAGATTGAGACAGTGCCTTCATGTGTGTATCTCTGGAAATCAAAATGCTTTTTTGTTTGGTAGATAGCTGATTGATAATGTTATTATTGGGCATGAAGTATTTCACTACTTGAACAGACATATGAGTGGTAACAATTGCTTCATGGCATTGAAATTGGACATTCTAAAAGCTTATGATTGTGTGGAATGAAAAGCTCTTCAGTTGACTATGGTTAGGATGGGTTTTCACAGACAGTTCATTAAGTGGATTATGGCTTGTATTCAGCTGCCTACCTTTTTCCTTAAACATAAATGGCAAATCTTGTGGTTATATCTCAGCTACCAGAGGAATTAAACAGGGAGACCCACTGTCTCCCTATCTCTTTCTTATCATTTCTGAGTTGTTGTCTGCTAGAATTCATATGGAAGCTGAGAAAGGGGCATTCAAAGGATTGAGATTATCAAGGGGTGGCCCTATGTTATCCCATCTGATGTTTGCAGATGATACCTTGGTAATCTGCAGGGCTGAGGAGAGTCAAGTGAGAAAGCTTTTGACCATCTTGGAACACTTTCAGGACTTTATAAGGCAACAGGTCAGTATGGAGAAATCCGCAGTGTTTTTTAGTAATAATTCATCTGAGGTGCTCAAGCAGAGAGTTTGTTCTTTACTGCCTGGAATCCAAATTCATTCTTCTACAAGGTATCTTGGGCTACCATTAGGGATAGGGAGATCCAAAAAAGACTCTTTTGAATATGTGTTGAATGTGGTGAGGAATAGAATATTTAGTTGGAAAACAAATGGTTGTCAGCTGCGGGAAAAGAGATTTTGATTAGAGTTGTTCCCAATGCACTTCCCATCTTTGCTATGACTTGTTTTGTGTTGCCTATTGGATTGTGTAAGGAGATATCTGCTGTTTGTGGGCAATTTTGGTGGAGCAAAGGAACTGATATGCACAGGGGTCTGCATTGGATTGATTGGAACAAACTGACACTGGCTAAGAAGCATGGGGGTTTGGGATTTCAAGATGTACAGATGTTCAATACTGCAATGATTGCTAACAGTTATGAAAGCTTGTGACTGAACCTAACAGGTTAGTAAGTCAGGTCCTCAAGTCTAAATACTTTCTTAACTCTTCTCTATTTAAGGCAGAAAGGAAACAATGTGGTTCTTGGCTGTGGAGCAGTTGGCTATCGGTGTTGAAGGTTTTTGGAAATTGGATGAAGGTGGAAGTGACGAATGGAAGCACCACTAGAATTTGGGATAAACATTGGGTTCCTGATTTTATTGGTAAGGAAGTGGAGTTGCGGCCTGAAATTGAGAGAGGATTTGAATGGGTGAAGGACTTGATGACCAGTGATGGAAAATGGTGGGATGAATCTAAGGTTCGAGCTACTTTTACCACTAAGTTTTGTAGATCTGTGCTGAGCATTCAATCACTCAATCCAGACAGAGAGGATAGGTGGATTTGGTCATTGCACAATAAAGGGATATTCTCAGTCCAATCCACTTATGCCAAGCTCATTACTGAAAAGTTTCTTAAGCAGATGCAGGCACAGGGTAGTAATGATCTGGTTGTTGATTCTAAGGTCAGAGATAGAACTTGGACATTAAAGGTGATGGGGAAAATCAAGCACTTTATCTGGAAGTGCTGTAATGAGACATTGCCTGTGAACCTGCAGTTGAGAGAAAAATGGGTGGATGTTGATCCTATGTGCAGAATATGTGGAGAGGCAACTGAATCTATTACTCACGCTTTGTTTCAATGCAGGTATGCTTCTTCTGTGTGGGAATTGGCACCTGTCAGTAGGGTTGGACCTCAGGGAAATGACTCTTTCAAATCATGGTGGTGGTCTATCTGTCAGTTGGATGGTGGGGAGGTTTCTGAAGCCAGGATACAGCTTTCTACTTGCATACTATGATGGCTTTGGAAATCTCGTAATTTGTGGGTTTTTGAGCATATTATGAGGCCTGCACCTATTTTTATCAAAGCTGCAAAACTGGATTGGGAAGCATTTGTGCAGGGTAATAGGTGTTAAGGCCTTTGGTTGTTGGGCTGTAGCTGTTTTTTCCTTTTCTATTTTCATGTAGCTGTAGTGTTTGGGCTGTTTGTAGTCTCTGTTTTATTTTCTGTTGTTTTTTCAGAGTTGTAGTGGGTTATGTTTGGTGTAGGGATAAAGGATCAGTTGAGGGTAACTGCTTTATCACTATTTAGTTTGTTTGTGTGTTGTTCTAGCTCACCTAGAGTGATGCTCCCAGCTTCGGCTTTCTTGTACAGAACTTTTATATATTGTGATATGGAGTTAATATTCTGTCGGTTGGAAAAAAAAAAGCATTAATATTTAACACTCCCCTTTAATGCTCAATCGAATAATTTTGAGCTTTCTCGTGTATGTAGCGCCTTTGTACGACTTGTTTTTGAATGTTTCTTGTGGCGGTTTCTCTGGTATTTGGCTCGACAATTGCTTGATTACACATTTTGTAGCTTTCTGACTTTTGTTGTGTATGCTTTTAACACTTGTATTTTGGTAACTTTGTGAGCTTGCTTTTCCAGATGGCTTGATTCTAGAACTTCCTTATTTTTCTTCTTGGCATCTTTTGCTATACTGTTGACACTTGACTTGACAATTGACTTGTTCATATGTGTTGGGTATTGAAATTCCATTGCAAAATATTGATTCTCTCTCATTTTGATTTTTGCAATGGTCTTCTTGTCCTTGTCGTAAATGGTGCATGAATCTCCCCTGAAATGCAAGTTCTTCAACATTTCACCGACAGTAGATTTTGATCAATTTCTGGAACAAAGAGGACATCTTTGATGCATTTTGTCCATTTTCTTGTGTCAATGGCAATAGTTCCTTTGCCTGTTGTTTCCACGTAGTTGCCGTTTCCAATTTTGACTTTTGAACGAAATATTTCAATATTGCAAAAGACACTTTTATCGTAGGTCATGTGATTGCTGCAGCCGTTGTCCAAGTACCAAATGCTTCATTTGTCATTTGTTGTATCGTTGGAGGCTAGAACAATAATTCTTTTGGCTCTGGCTCTGTCTCATCTGAAAAATTGGCTCGCTGACTTTGTCTTCTCCCCCAACAATTTTTCTCGTTGTGGCCCAACCTTTGACACTTTTTGCATTGTTCTTTCTCTCGAAACCAACATTCCTATTCTTTGCGATTATTATTCTTGCCAATTCTACATGGTGTATCATACCATAGTTTGTTTTTCTTTGATCTAAGATATTCCCCTTCACTTGATTTTCTGAAATTCTTTTTTCTTGATTTTTGAAATTTTGAGACCGTAAATTTAGTTTTGACTGAAATGCAGTTTCCACGTCATTTTCATTTTTCTCCAAATTTGTCCTTCTTTCGTCAGCCTCTAGAGAACCGTGACAGTAATTTGTATCTTTTCAATAACATTTTTATCTGAAATATCTTCTTCAGCTGCTCTCATTTGATTAACAAGCTCAATTAATTTTGTGTAATATTCTTTCACGCTTGAGAGTCTGTAGTTTGACTACACGTACCCTGGATGTTCCTTGAAGCTCTTCTTGTAAAATCTCCCAAGTTTCTTTGGCACTGTTGGCTTTGATATCTCTTGGAAAAATATTGTCTGACAATGTTTGTTGGATTATGTAGAGTGCTTCTGCGTCCTTCCGCAGCTCCTCACTTAGTTTTTTCTGTTCTTGTACGGACAATGTTGATATATCCGTGGAATATTTACTCCATCTTCGACAACTTCCCACAACTCTTGTGATAAAAATAATGCCTTCATCTTGGTGCTCCAGTAATCGTAATTTTCTCCTCCAAATATTAGTAGAGAAATAGTGTTGTTTGATGATGACGCCATTTGTATTTGTTGCGCCCCAAGTCTTTTGATCGACCGGGCTTTGATACCACTACTAGTATTTTGGACGAATTTGATTAATTTTGATAGAAAACTAAAATAATATAAATTGAAAATAGAACTTTGAATTAACTCTTAATTTTGGTAAGAGATAATTTGAATGATGCTTTGTTAATGGAATTTGTAATCCACTTCAATTCATGAGTACACGTATTAGAGCATCTCCAATGCTATGGTGTTGAAAGGCAATAATTTTTAACACATGCCAATTGATGATTGTAATGTTAATCCACATAAGAATAATGTTAAAAGGCTAAAAATTTGAATCAAACTAGTATCTCCAATGCACCAATTTGATAAGAATTTATTTGTATAGGTGGACCAATTATAATAATTCATTAATACAAGAATAATAAAAAATTAAACCAAATATAAAGTGAATTAATGAGTCATCATGTTTAACATGGTGTTAGATATTAGAAAGTGAGTTCAACATTGTTAACATTAAATGTCATCCACATCATCATGAAAGAGCTAATGACAAGATGCATTGGAGAATAAATTAGTAATAAACTTTCAAAAGTTGATGATATGGATTATTTTTTGCAATGTCAAAAGTCACATTGGAGATGCTCTTACACATATATATAGGAGACAAAGGCGGCTAATTGAGGCGGTGATAAGCCACTTTTCTTGCCTACTTATTTTGCTAGAATTATGAAGAACTCTTGAGAGAAAAAGTTAATTATGGGCGATAACCAGTATCGAGGATTAAGCTGTCAATTTGTTCGGCTTGAACATGCTTAAGGGTAATAATAATAATAATAATAATAATAATAATAATAATAATAATAATAATAATCACCACCTTCATCATCATCATACGAAAGCTATGGCTTATACATTCGAAGTCAACTATCAGGATACTGAACACTAACAGATGTTAATACTACACAAACCAAATTGACACACAACTACCATTTGATTTATGGAGGAATAATCGAATGGCTAGTAAGCTCAGGAGCAACCCCTAGCCGTGGCTCACTTGTTGTGGCCAGCTTTGGCTGCGCCTCCAGTTTGTTTGCTGTGTAGGGTGCGTTTGCTGTTATTCTGTACAACAAACAGTGCCTTAATATAAATAACCCCATAAATTATATAATTTTTGGACATAATTCTTGTATGTTAATCTATCACACTTTCTTTAAATGAATATTATATAACAAACTATCATATTGTTGTTTTATTTTAACAAAAATACATTATTTATATTACATAATGTCATTTTATTGTTTTAAATTATCTTATAGAGTATTACATTTTAATTCCAACGTATGCATATTTATTGAAAAATATTGTTTGGTTAGTCGGACTGATAGCAGCAGAGCTATTGACCCATCTAATTACTAGATCATGTAGAATCAGACGCCATATATTGTGTATTGCAATTAGTTAACACAATCTATATATATATAATTGCTAGCTAATCTCATTTAATAAAACATTTAATAAAAATATTTTCACTTTCCCTTCAAAAGGAGTTACATTTTTTTTAATTAATTACTCATTAATCTCACATTTAAGAAGGTTTTTTATAGTTAAATTTAATTAGTTAATGATTAAATTAAAAAGATTTATTTTAATTAATCCCACATTAAGTACAGTATCATCTTAATATCTTATCGGTGTTTCAAAAATATAGTAACTTTTTTCAATAAATTTTATAAAAATTAGTCAAATGTGCTTATATTCATATAAATCAGAAAAAAAATTAAATCTTAGATATATAAAAATAACATCGTTGAAATAACTTGAATCCGCAAGGGTAATTCTATACTCATTATCAATTACTTTAATTTTTTGTTTATATTAAAAATTAATATTATAGTTACTCATTTATATTTAGATGGTATTTTTTTTATTAAGAAGTAAGGACAATCTCTATCAATCAATAAGAGTCAAGGACAAACAATATAAAGAAGTGTTTCCTATGCTATGACATGATCAATAAGAGTCAAAGACAGTCTCTGTCGCACGTCGGCTTACTACTGAAGAGCTCTGCATTTAGTCATGAGCAATTATACGTGGCGCTTTTTAGAGTTACGAGTCAGTGGAGTTTGAAGATTTTGGTTTGAGCTGAGGGAGATTTTGACGATAGAAAAACCACAACGTTGTTTTATAAAGAAGTGTTTAAGAATATTTATATTTTTTTCTTAATTTTTTTCGATGAATTTGTTATTATTTTTACTATTGTTTATAATTTTTATTATTTTTTCATGTATCATATAGTTTTCCGTGCAAATGTACGGGACAAAAACTAGTTAATCAAAATATCCAATATTTATTCCACTTTCTCTGTCTCCTAATACGAGTAGGAGACGATGGTACGTTTTTATGTTTGGTCAAAAAGTAATGGTATACGAACATAAATCTAAATTAAATGACTTGGATCAATAAAATATTACTCAAAGCAATTAAATATTAGGTTAACGTTTAAAATATTAGACTTTTGAACAATTAATTTGAAATTCATCTTTATCCAATATCTACATTCATTCGTATCGTACCTGTGTTTCCTCTTCTCCAGGAACCGGGCCAGCGAGTTTTTCCTAGCAATTGGTAAATCTGAAAAGCCAAGGCAGATGAGAGAAAAAATACACACACACACACACACAAAAAAATAAAAAATAAACAGATATACATAAATTATTTAAATGGGCATAAAGAAAGGAAATGGCATATATATTTGTAAACATTAGTTCACCGGAATGAAGAGGTGGGTGAACAGGTGGGTTACTCGGTAAACCGAAAGTGAGCATCACGTGGTGGGCAAAGGCGGGTTTGGGGCGGGTCGGACCGGACTTTCCGGCTATCATCAAGATCTCTCGGGCCTTGTCCGCCGGAAGGTCGTCAAAGACCATAACCCGACCCGCGTAAAATATGGTCATCTTTGGAGTTTCCAAATCACTGCAAACACACACGCAAACGCCCAACTATTATATATTTGCCAGTAAATTGGATAAGAAGACAGAAGACGGAAGCATTTAAGGTATTATAGAGTCTTAAACCTGAGACTGGGTTTCTGTTCTTTCACGTCTTCACACCCGGATTTCTTAATTAATTGAGAACCTGATTAATTATTCATTTCCACAGATTTGGGAGAACAAAATCCAAAACCAGAAACCCAGCAAAATTAGAAACCAAATCTAGCAACCCAAGCTAGAAACGAAAATGATTACATAACAAACAATATTATGAATTAGCCACACCTTTGTTGTTGTCCAAGCTGTGACTGTGAGAAGGGAAATCGAGGTTGAGCTCTCCAAAGCTGCCCTTCTCCTTCAAGTACCGGCTGAAAAGGGAACACATCTGGGAGAAGTTAGACCTTCCGCCGGAAGGCCTACCGGAGTCGACAATTTCAGTGGACACCATTTTTTCTCCGGCAAAGCTAGCTAGATGTATGTATTAATTTGCATTTACAAGTACGAACCATATGGAGAAGTCTTTCTTGGGCAAAAGGATTGTGGGATTGTAAGTAATCGGGGGTGAGAGAGGGACGTGTACCAGGAATATTAAATTAAATAAAAAAATAAAAGGAAACTAAAATAAAAAAGCACGAGGGATATGTGTTGCTAATTAATTGAAAAATAAGTTCATAGGTAGAAGTAGGTGCTAAGCCAAACGACTTTTACGTGATGAGTGGGTGGTCTCGTTTGGAGTTGGGATTGGAAACAACCATTTTAAACACGTGTTTTTTTTTTTTTTTTTGGG